TGATTCCTAAAGGAAATAAGTTAGATACTATATACATACACAGTAACAGGTTTTCAACAGAGCTGTTAAATCATTATAGATTATACGCATTTATACCTTCCTAGAAAGATAAGTAAGTTGAAAATGTTAGCTGTGACTTTAACAACTCTGTATGCAAGAGAAATAGTATTTGCACATAACATTTAGGTAAATATTTGTTGAACTGAATAGAGAAGCAAATGAAAGACAATATGGGGACCAAGTAGATCTTGGGGAAAATCTAGATGACCCAAAAGAAGGTTGCATGAAAGACAGGATAATGTTTGGAAGGATAGGAATGAGCAAACATCATGCCATGTCAGTACTACAGTTAAACTGCTGGGCTGGAATCACAGTTTCATATAAGAAGTTCTTCACCAAACAGCAAAACTTCATTATTTCAGACTTAACTAACTGATATTTGTGTTACTATAACTTAGTGTGCAAGTAAGTAAAATTTATGCTACTTGGGGAATGGCAGAATAAAAGAATACCCACAATTTTATAGTGTTCATCTGATTAAGAGAGAAATGACAATACTACCACATATAATTTTCGATATGATTATACAGGAAACTAACACGTCAAATGTTAACAGGTAACTATTTCTCAAATTGAATGCATTATTTTTTCAGTAAAAACTGTTTATAAGATCTCTGCTTAAAAAATAATTTATAAGATTAACTCACATTATTCACTGAGCTTGAAAAATTTTAAATGATCTTTATTTTTCATTAATTCAGAATAATTTTCCTCTTATTACTTTACATTAAGATAATTACTATTATTGCTAGGATTCAGTGCTTTGATATTCCCATGTGTTATTATTCCCAAGAGACACCAAAGATCTATCACATGATAGCATGGTTTTTCTAATAAAGCATGATACTGCCTTAGTCTGTGATTCATGTAAGTGCACATAAGCAGTTGCAGTTCAATGGATAGTTTTTGAATAGCCTTTCTTGCCATGGTCTTGTAACTCCCACCAAATGACTCTGTGGGACTATGCAAGTGAAGTGCTTGTGGTCGATCAAGGGAGTTGGGCAGTTTGCTAATAATGCAAGTAAGGTGTATGGCATCCTTGTGAGCATG